AAAATCCACCTCAGTTTTCCAATCCCACATACATAGGTTAAAAAAATCCACCTCAGTTTTCTAAACCCACATTCATAGAATAAAAGAAAAAAATATATATATTTTCACCTCAGTTTTCTAATCCCACATTCATAGGTTTAAAAAAAAAAACAAAAAAAAAATCCACCTCTGTTTTCTAATCCCACATACATAGATCAAAAAACAAAATCCACCTCAGTTTTCTAATCCCACATTCATAGAATAAAAAAGATTTCCACCTCAGCTTTCTAATCCCACATTCACAAGTTAAAAAAAAAAATCCACTTCAGTTTTCTAAACCCACATTCATAGGTCAAAAAAAAAATCCACCCAGTTTTCTAATCCCACATTCATAGAATAAAAAAAAAAAAGATTTCCACCTCAGCTTTCTAATCCCACATTCATGTTTTAAAAAAAATCCACTTCAGTTTCCTAATCACACATTCATTGAATAAAAAAAAAGATTTCCACCTCAGTTTTCTAATCCCATGTTCATAGGTTAAAAAAAAAAAAAATCAAAAAAATCCACCTCAGTTTCATAATCACATATTTACAGATTTAAAAAAAAAAAAAAAAATCACCTCATTTTCCCACTCTAATCACACATTCACAGGTTAAAAAAAAAAAAAAACACATAATTTTCACCAATTAATAATTCTCCTTCAAGCTTAGGGGGCATCCTGGTGGTTCCCTCTGCATTTTTATTTCCCTTGAAGGGGCTCACCTGAAGGCCTGGCCCCGGGAGGGGTTCTCTGGGTACCAGTGGTTTTTGTACTTTGCCAACAGGAGCGTGGTCAGCCTGGCTGCAAACTTCTCCACCTCGGCCTTGCTCAGCCTCTCCTCCCTCCTCACCAGCTTGGTGATGAAGAAAACCGTGGCAGCGATTTCATCCTTCATCTTCAGGGCAGGAGGTGCTGGGGCAGCACAGCAGAGATTTAATAACATTAAAGAACCGTCAGCTGCCAAAAAAATGATGCTGCAAAAGCCAGGATAAGCCTGACTGCCAAACA